TTGCTAACCTGCTCTGTTTCTGGCCTCGCTCCTCGTACCGGTCCAGCCGAGTATCTAGTTGTCCTTTGGACTCCGTATTGTCGATTTTCCGTGTGGCTTGGTTGTGACTGCTGTTAAAAATAGTTGTTCTTAGATTTGGTTGTGCACAGAGGCGAGGTGGACCCTCCACCTACTTCTCCATCTTGGCGGAAGTCCTCTATACTTTCTTCATCTTTAGGTCACTTGCTCATCTGTTATGTGGGGGCCGTGTATATGTGTGTGTGTGGATATGTATCAGGAAACTAATTTTATTTTATTTTTTGTATGGACCGTCAATTTCACGAGACACCTTTTTAAAAACTGTGGCAAAGTTCATATAACATAAAATTTACACTGCAAATGGCTGAGCCACTTTCAAGCGTACGTTTCTGTGGCAATTAGCACATTCACGTTGCATGGCCATCGTGCCTGCCTGGTCCAGGGTGTTGCTCATCAGCCACCAGGAAGTGCTGCACCTAGGCAGCCGCTCCCGCTCCCCTCCCCCGTCTCTCGCAGCTACTTAGCTGCTTTCCGTCTCTATGAATTCGCCTATTTTGGCTATTTCATGTGAATTGAATCATGTAATATGTAGCCTTTTGTGTCTGGCATCCTTTCACTTAGCATGACGTTTTCAAGGTTCATCCATGTGGTAGCATGTGTCCTTGTGTATTTCTCATTCCTTTTTGTGCCAAATAATATTCCATGGTGTGGCTGTACCACAGTTGGCTCATCCGTTCATCAGTTCATGAATATTTGGGTCGGTCCCATTTTTTGCTGTTGTTGCCAGTGACCCTATGAACATCTCCACACGAGTTTTTGTTTGCCCAATTCTTTGCAGTCCAGCAACGCCTGCCGAACAGTCTGTTCTGATCTGTCTGACCCTGACTTTCCACTCAGGAGTGGGGCTCTCTCTAGGCTCCGAGTTCTGCTCCGTGGGCCTGCTAATCCACCCGTCCCCAACGCTGTGTGGCAGATTCATCGTTAGAGCTTCGTGGTGCGTCCTGAGAGCTGGGGGGCCAACACCCAGTCTCCTCTCCCGGCTTTGTCAAAACCACCTTGATTAAATTTGACCCTTTGCTCTTCCATGTGAATTTTAGGAGCAGCTCATCGAATTTCACAAAAACTCTTTTGGGCTTTGAGTTCTGGGTTGATTTGAGGAGAACTGCTATATTTATGATGTTGAAGCTGTCTAGCTCATGGGCTCTCTCCCAAAGACACATGCACACCAAGACATTTGCACGTGGCTCTGGTTGGGTCACTTGCCCCCAACTCTTCACCTAGTGAACTCCTTCTTCCCATCTCAGGGTCTTCTGCACCTTGCATTCCTCCTATTCCTCCCTCAAAGCCCCGCTCCATTGTCCAGAAATCATTGATTAGGTGGTTCTTGGTTTAACGTCTGGGCTGCAGACTCCTCCAGGGCCATAACATTCTCTCTGTGTCCTCAGCCTGAAGAACACGGATGACAGGTGGCAGAATCCCAATAAACATTTGTTAAAAGAATGAAAGAAGTACAGGGAGGGAGTCCTTCTGCCCCAGGAGCCCATTGGCCATACCCACAGAGATGCTAAACAAAGTGACTTACTTGGCATCACTCCATGTCCTTTCCTAGGGAGTGGGGGTGTGATTAGGCTGTTTCGGGGGCGAAGTTGAACACAGGGGTGTGTGCAGTTCTTGGAGCAAAGCCCGCCCAGCTGTCAGAGCTGCCTGTGTTTCCCGCCCTGCCCTTCCCCTCCACGGGTTTTCAGCCTCACAGGCCCGCAGCCTTTTCACCACCAGTTACCCATCCTGATTTCACTGCTCCCGCAAACTAGCCATCTTATCCCCGTTTTGCATTAGAGACCAGTGTGTCTCAGAAAAGAAGACGAACCCGTCTTAGGTCTTAGGCCTTTAACTCCTAACACCAAACCCAATGTATATATAATTCCATTACGTAACATAACATAATATACATCACATAATTAAGGTGTTTTCTAGTTCTTCACTCCGCAGAATTTCCAGTTAGATTTTGTAAACTAGATGCCTCCTCTCAAAACAAAACAGTCCAGACACGATGTCGACTTAAATTATTTTTATTTTAGGGTTACTGACATAGACATAAGCCTAAAATTAAGCATGAAGTCTTCACACTTAGAGTTCTATAAACCAACCATAAAACCGAAATAAATCTTCTAATACAAACATAACCACAACACCAATAAAATGCAAATTAACAACATCAAATTAATGTGGCCGATCCTGTGTTGCTGTAGTCAAGACCCTGACGTCGGGTTTAACGGGAGCAGAGTGATGCTCTGACATGTTTTATGTTTCCTGCCTCATCATATTTGATTTGCATCATGAGTGACATTAGTTGAGCCACCATCAGCGTTGGTCATTGTTTTCTTAAACTATGAAAACTCGTTTGTAATTCAGTTTGATGTGCCAAGCAGTTTCAACAATGCATTCTCAAGTTCCGTAAGGAAAAGTGGGAAACAAGCCACTCAGTATGACATTGCTTAGTGTATGTTTACTGCGATACTCACTACCAGTGAAGTACTACAAGCGTGTCCACCAAAGACAATAAAGACACAATTGATGCTCTGGCAAAGCACCCATTGTGCTCACCAAGGCTCGTTCCTGAGGCACCATGTGGGCTCGACAATTCAATTCTCCCACCACTTTACTCCATCGGACCCATAAGAAAACCATTCTCCCAAGCCCAAGATGACAGCCGGCCCACCTCCGGCCTCGGGTGCATCCTTCAAGTATCTAACTGGACCTTCACTTTTCTCATTAGCATGAAACCATTAAAGTTTTTCCTGCGGTCTGTGCTCCGTGTCACTTTTCATGGTGTCAAATTACATGTCCAAGGCACTAAAATATTTAAGAAGCTAATCTCCTAGTCTCTGAAATTGATGTTCATTGGAAATGATCTTGGCAAGAGGAAGCTTTGAGTTTTCACTGGTACAATAGAGGATCCTGAGCCCAAGGTTGGGACTGAGATGACTTTTGTCCTTACAAGTGTCAACTTGTAAAGAAAACATCCAAACCAGTAAGAACTGGTATGAGTTTGAGCCAAACCGATGACAACTGCTGGGAAGCAAAACCTCAACAGATTGAGGAGACGCTGCAGAGAATGGCGTTTTGCAGCTTATTTTATACATTACAGTAAAAAGAGGAGGTGTGAGGGGGTTAAGGGAACTTCGTTGGCCATACTTTAGGGAGGCAGGAGAAAGCAAAGAGGAGGAATCTCTGGGGCTGGGTAAAAAGTAAAGGAGACACGTACTTCTTTTACATCTGTGTGTACAGGATAGTTAACAATTAACAACACAGTAACGATAATTACGAGGGGACTTGTGGTCTCTGGTTTTTCTTTAAGGGGTCTAAAAATAAGGAAAATTACTTTGATATTTTAAAGTTACTGTTATCAGGTATGGTATGTAGATGCAACCCCCCCAAAAAACAAACAAACAAACAAACCAGAAAAACACAGGCTCAGTTAAGGTAAAGATTGACCTTTGTTAGAGAAAAGTATCTGCCAAGGACCAGACTATCCGCCATGAACTGCTTTTAGTTAGAAAGTTCTAATTTTCGCCCATCCTATGTGGTTACTTTAGGTCCCTGAGTTTGGAGGGCCACCGGGGGGCCCCTCCCCATGCACACAAACCAGGAGAGGGCGGCCTGAGGTGCCCGCGCCAACCCACGGGAAGTGCATCGCGGTCCTACTGGGCACGGAGGCACACGCTCTGCAACAGACTGCTTCTTGGTGCCTTTCTTAACAACTTTTTAAAAAATGAAATCATTTATTTATTACTTTGAGAGAGAGAGAAGAAGGGAGGAGACATTGCTTTGTTGTTCTACTTACTTATGCATGCATTGGCTGATTCTTGTATGTTCCCTGCCCCAGGCTCTAACCCGCAACCTCGGTGTTAGGGTGGTGGGTGCCGGCTGCTGTGAAAGAATTCACAAAGAGAAAAAAGTGCAGAGAGTAAAGTTTTATTTACTCTCCAAGAAAGGGAGAGGCGAGTGGTGTGGACAGATGCACCGGCCTGGAGGGGTTGAGGCTTTGAGATTTTCTCGGATTATAATTGGATTTAAAAAGGGTGGGGGGTGCTGCTGGGTTGTCCCCGGGCTGTTGAGGTGACGTAAGCCGAGGCTGCAGTTCCTCCCAATGTTATCTTCTGCCTGCGGCCGTGGGGGGCAGTCAGTATCGACGTGTTCTTGCCCACCGCTTACTTCCAGTCCACAGAAGCTCAGACCAGTAAAATGGCAGTCATGCCTAACAAAGTCATGGCCTGCGCAACAAACAGCGCGGCCTTACCCGTTCGCTTGGTACCGCAGAAAGATGCTCTAACCAGCGCAGATACCCCGCTGGGGCCCCTTCTAAACAGTTCCAGTGGAGAACCCCAGGGGGCGTGGAGAGCTCAGTTTAAGGCACCCTGGGCTCAAAGATCGCTACGTCTGTGCACCAGCACCGAACGGACACGCACCAGGTGCCGGAGGACAAACCCTCACTCCTCGAGCTCAGGACTTGGCCTCGGGGGGAGGGGAGGGCTAGAACAGCGAGAGCCCTCTAGCCTGTCGCTGCCACGTCTAGGCGCTTCCTTCCCCAGGAAACAATGGTGGCTCGGACCTCCCAGGCTGTCCGCTTCCTCACCGCGTGGCGGGGCGCCGGGGCGCCGAGGCCACTCCTTAAAGAGCAGGGTGACAGACCCCACCCCCTCTGACGCCGGGTCCCCCACCCCCACCCCCACCCCCACCACGTGCCGGCCCAGGGTAGCAAAGGCCCAGCCTGCCACCGTCACCAGGGATTTTCTTTTCTCTTTTTTTGCTGATTTCAGGCTTTTTTCTGCCTGAGTGAAATGAAACAAACACCCCCTCAGCCTCCGGGCCACCGGACGCGCACGCACCGACTGGCCTCAGAGCCCGGACGCGCCAGCTTCTCCGCTGTCTGTGTCCGGGGCGGGATCTGCTTTGCATAAATAGCCGCGGGCGGCGCCACTCCCCGAGTGCTCTGCCGCCGCCCAGCGCTCGCCGCCGCTCCGCGCTGCTGCCCGCTGCGCTCTCCCCGCTGCCCCAGGGAGCGCCGGCGGTGCTGCCGGAGCGCAGGCGGCACACACGGCCGGCTCCGCCCGAGGCGGCGTGAAGCGGACCGCGGGTCCGGACAGCCGAGGCGCGGTTCGTTCCGGGGCGCACCCAGCTTCTGCGGATCAGGTGGGTCCCGCAGGGCTCCGCCCGAGGTCCCCGAGGCCGGGAGCAGGGCCAGACCCCCAGGTTGTGGGCTGGGGCGCGGAAGAAGTGGGGAGAGAAGGGCTGCCGCTCCGGCCCTGCCCGATTTCTGCCCTGCGCTCCTGCTTTTGTTCTCGTCTCTGCCTTCCCAAGCGGACCCCATCACTGTCCCCATCCGGTCCCCGTCGCTGTCTCTGCTCAGCCTTCCAGATTGGGGCCTGAGGGGCTGCGGGCGGAGGCCTCCGACTCGGGTCCGCGGCGAGAGGGCGGAAGGGAGGAGGCTCAGGGGGCAGGGGTAAGACCACCGAAGAAGTCTCAAAAGCACTGAGGAGTCTGTCCCCGTCTCTGGGACAGGAAGGAAGCATGGCTCTCGCCCAGGACTGGATGGGAAGAGGCCGTGTCTTGGGAAGGGGAGCCCGGGCGTAGAGCGAGGGGTGCATGGATGCAGGGGAAGAAGTGAGCGCTCACAGAGCGAGCACCAAGCCAAACACTGGGCATGAGGAAAGTTTCGGGTTTTGTAACTTTTGCAGCAAAGGGCATGCTTCTTGGGATGATGGGGTGTGAAAGGGCCCCTTTAACTCTGCAACGAAAGGACACCACTCCACGTTAGGAAAAGGCAGAAAAACAGCCAAACGGAATGACTACACAAACTCTTGAAAGGCGGCCAAAAAAACAGCGGGGGGGAAAAAAATGTCCGGCGGGGGGGGGGGGAAGACGAGCGACCAGAGATTCCCCTATCTTCCCGCTGGCCCTCGGGGAAGGAGGAGGGCCGTGCGGAGGGTGTCAGCGTCGCCCCTCCCCTCAGGAGGAACCCAGACCCAGGCGGCTGCTTTCGTGGCTTCGCAGGACTTTTGCCCTCTTTCAGGGTCCTGAGCAGGCCTCGTTGCTGCAGTCATTCACCTGGGTGTGTCTCAGGAGGCAGGAGATGCAGGAGGGAACCACTGGCCCTGCCGCCTCCTGTCCCGGAGACGCGTTCCCAGACCCTGCCTGAGTTTCCAGGACTCGACTGGGAAAAGGAATACTGCCCTGAGTCAGGACGAGCCGAGTGCGGAGGGGCTCCTGTGTGTTAGGGGCGTCAGGGAGAGGATTATAGTTGTTCCTGTGCACGTCTGTGCTTCTTTGGCTACACTAAGCCCTTGTTCGGAGTTATCTCTAGGGTATACCTTGCCTCCCTTACCAGATGGGGGGCAGGTGCAGATCCCAGTTACTGTTCCAAGTAACAGGTGTCATTGGCTGAATAAGGCAGGTTGGAAGCGGGGGAAAGAGTCCCTAGGGTTTACTGCGTCCAGGGGATTTCAAATTATGCCCAAGGATCCTGGCTCAAGGGCCTAGACGGTGGAGAACCGGTTCAGTTTTGCCTTTATCTCTTCTATATGCTGATAACTCCCAGAGGTGGTGGTGGTTGTTTTTAACTTTTTTTTGTCTTTTAACATTTTTTTTTTCTTTTACTGATTCCAGAAAGAGGGGAAGGGAGGGAGAGAGGGAGAGAAACATCAATGTGAGAGAGAAATGTCCATCTGTTGCAAAGTGCCTCATGGGGGTGCCCCAACCGGGGACTGAACCTGAAACCATGTGCCCTGACCAGAATGGAACTTGGGACCTTTCGGTCTACTGGACCACACCAAATCAACCCGGCCCCACAGGCCAGGGAGGGGCCATGTTTAATACCAAATTTCTGAGACCCAGCCTGCAGAAACTGAGCCAGGAGGGTGCACAATGATCTGGGCAAGCTCCTTTAGTAGGATCTTACCTCCTAAAACCTGTAGGCCAGGGGTACGTTTCCCTGGCCACTGTGGCGCTAAGCAGTCATTTCTCTAGCTCTCAGCCCCAATTCACTTAGACCCTAACTCCAGGGCCCCAGGGTCCCCACCCTCCTTACCCTTCTGTGAGCAGAAGCCAGTGCGTCTCAGCCTCTGAGCTTTTCCAGGACTTTAGGGGATATTCACATGTGAGCTGGTTCCACGGGCTGAGGTCAGACAGAATTAGGTTCCCCAGCAGCTGGTCAGCACAGGGCTGTGTCTTAGTGCAGCCCCTCAGGGTGGGGTAGGTGTCATTAACCCATTTCACAGTTGAGGAAGTGAAGGCTCACTGGTCAGCTTTTAAATCGCAGCTGGAGCCCTGGCTGGTGTAGCTCAGTGGATTGAGCACAGGCCTGCGAACCAGACTGGACAGACAGATGTCCCTGAGATCAGAACAAAGGCAGGGAGAATGACTGAAGGGGGGGGGGCAGCATTGAGTGTGAGGGACTGGCACTCATCCAGGTGAATTCACAGCATAAATACAATTTTGTTTGAAATGAATGTGTTCTGCCCTGTACTTTCACTTTATTGTTTATTTTATGGATTCTTTAAAAGTATGTGCCTTTCAAATTTTGAAAGTGTAATTGATATACAAGAAAATCTACAAATCTTAAGTGTTGTGTTTAAAAGTTTTGACAGTTCTTTACACCTGTGTAACCGCCACTCAAAATAAGATATAAAATATGACAACATCCTAGAAGGTTACCACTTCCAATCTTCCTTCTGCCCGTCAAGGTAACCACTTACTGTTTTCTCACAATTTATTAATTTTGCCTGCTCTTGGACTTCTCATACATGGACTTATACCTTATAGCTCTTACATGTCTGGCTCAGTGAAAGACACTATTGCACTGGCCATAATGTCTTTCAAATTGAGCTGTATTGCCGCATATATGAGTAGTTGGTCCCTTTTTATTGCTGAGTAGTATTCCGTTGCACGGATGTACCATGATTTGCTTATCCACTCTCTTGTTAATAAACATTTGGGTTACTCTCAGTCTGGCTGTTATTTCTTTGTCTTTCTTTTCTTTTTAAGGTTTTATTTGTTTATTGTTAAGGAGAGAGGGGAAAGGAGGGAGACAGGGAGAGAAACATCAATGTGTTGTTGCCTCTCATGTGCCCCCTAATGGGGACCTGGCCTGCAACCCAGGCATGTGCTGCCCTGACTGGGAATTGAACCCCGTGATGCTTTGGTTCACAGGCCAGCATTCAGTCCACTGAGCCACACCAGCCAGGGCTGGCTATTCTTTCTTACAGAATTCTTTTTTTTTTTGTAAAACTTATTCTTTCCATTACCTTTTAGTCCCCTTATAAACCTGCCTCCATCCAGCAATCACCCCACTGTTGTCCATGTCCATGAGTCCTTTTTTCCGTTTTGCTCAATCCCTCTATCCCCTAACCTCCCCCACTAGCTGTTAACCACTCTCTATCTAGAATTTGTAGAATTTGTTTTCACCTAGGATAAAGCTGTTGGGTCACAGAGTACACCATTTTACCTTCCACAGCAAGTATTAGCCTCGTGATTATTCCACATCCTTGACAAGAACTGGTGTTGGTCCGTCTTTCTGATTTTAGCTATTTCAGTGATTGGGCAGTGGTAGCTCATACCTTTTATTTTGTGATGGAGTTTTAAGAGTCACTGGTGAGGACAACACGAGCAGGATACAGAATATGAGCTGAAATGATGGCCGGGAGGTCAGTAGGAGCCATGACCCAGGAGGGAAGGAATCGAATGATGGTTGGAGAAGCGACTTTGGGAGGAGGGATTTCTGACTCAGGAGAGCTCCCTGTGTATCACCTGAGATTTAAAGGCCTGGTATTTGTACTCTGTAAACGAGGCAGGTTCATCCAGACTCATGGCTTTAAACACTACCTCTCTAACAATCATCTTTATCTCCAGATCTCTGTTTGGGGGCCCCCAACTCACCTGATTAACTGCCATTTGTGCATCTCCCTCTTTGAATGTCTCAAAGGCACTGCAGACTTGGCGAGTCTGGAACAGAATTCATTATCTCGTGTTGGCTTTCTGCCTTGGGCCACTGGGTGAAGAATGGTTCCGCTAGCTGAGAGGATTCGTAAAGAGGAATGTGTAGGGCTGGGAGATAATGAATTTACCTCCATGCTAAATGGTGTGGAGCAGAATCGGAGGATAAGGACTGGAAAGTGCATTGGGCGATTTGGAGATTACCAAAATATATACTGAAAGCAGTTTCGCTGGAATGTGGGGCAGGCTAGCTAGATTGCTGATAGGTGAGAGGGAAAAACATGGAGATGGTAAGTATATTCTCGACTCTGTCCAGAAGTTTGAGAAGGCCAGTGAGAAGACTGAGCTGTACAGCTGTAGGAGAACGGGAAGAAGGAGATAATTTCGGGATAGATCAGACCAGTGAGATATGGGCTCCAGGGAAGGATCCGGTGCAGGAGAGGGGAGGGGTGGCCCGTAAAGCAAGGTGTTAGAGGAGCAGGAGGAAATGGGGAGGGTCAGCTCTGAAAGGAGGGTGGTTGTCCCCACCTCTGAGATTAGATGTGAGCGAATGGAGGTGAGGAAGTTCCACATCTGCACAATTCTCTGTTGACTTTCCACGTGCATAACTCCTAATCAGGATGACTAAGGTTCTTCATCATCTGCTCCCTATCTCACACAGATAGTGTGTATCAGTTAGCTCTTGGAGCAGCTGTGCTGCATAACAAACAACCCTCCAGGTCTTAATGTGACCACAAAGGTTTAGTCATTGTTCACATTGCAAGACAGTTGTAGGGCAGTTGCAGCTGCGTGGTTTCTGTGGTTCTGCTCCATTTGTCTCATCCCAAGACTCAGGCTGGCGGAGCTACTTCTCTCTAGTACATGTTACTTCCGTGGTGAGAGCTTGTGGAAAGAGGTGATGTGATGCCTCTTAAAGCCTCCACTCTGAACTGGAGCCTCCACACTATCACATGCACCCACATTCCACTGGTCAAAGCCAGTCATTCGACCAAGTCCAAAATCAATGGGGCAGAGATATAGCAGGGAATGACGCTTGGGAACCTAATCCAGTTGACCACATAGATTTGTTATTAACTCCCTGTTACAGGTCCCCTGTTATCTCTCTAAACCAACCCCCATCATACAGACTACAAGTTGGTACAGTTGTTCTTTAATCAAGTATGGCAGTGCCCTTTCAAGTCTCTGTATCTTTGCACACATGG